CTAAAACCATGCTGGACCATGGATGTTGCAGGACCATGGAGTACTGAACTAGAGTGGTTCAACCTATAGTTCTTTACATCCAGTGCACTCATAAAATTACACTCAGAGCATAAGATATACAGCAGTCACAATATTTATATAAATTATATAATCTTAATATAAAATAATAATGCTAGCATGTATCAGCTTTTCATCATGCAATAATATCCCTATGTTTGTGATCTCAGTTATTTTTCTGCACTGAGAGTTTAACGGTCAAGAACGGAAATAAGTTTCCATTCATTACAATGGAGTTACAATTGACTATGTTAATGATTAATTTGGCCTCATGACTATAGTCTCAAAAAATGCTAGCAGCCATCAAATAAGAAATATTTTCAGCTTATGCAATCTAATTATACTGTCATAAGCTTCCTACCTAACAGTGATCAAAACCTGATAATTATAGTATTTTAAGGGATTACTCATATTTTGATTTTTAATGTTAAGGTTATATTGTTGGTGGCTTTATGTTTTGCTATACTTGTGCTTATTTCTGGTACTGAAATGGTTTCATCTTCAGGAGCTGTTTTTGTGATAGGTATTTCTAACATTCTTATCTTCTCTTTTTAGGGAATGTTTGTAAAATATTTCAAGTACTCGTGCTCTTTGTTAATTCACAAGCAGATTATAACATTCACTTATTTCATATGTTAGTTGTCTTTGTTAAATGGCTGACCAGGTCAGGGTTTATTTGATGCAGATTTTCTTAACTCTGTTAAACATTACGATAAAGAGCAAACAGCAATATTTTACTGTTGCTCTGGATTGGATGTTTGACATGGATTATATTTGAATGAAAAGAGCCATCCATTTCAGATCTTTGATTGGTAGAATATGATTATCATTTCTAATAGAGGCCATGAGACTGCAATTGAACATGTTTGCAGCAATTACTCCAAAGAAGCTTAAGGAGCAGAAAAGCAACTGCTGTCCTTTGGACACCTGTAAGGGGACTCCTGGTCAGTACATCCCTAACTTCCATTCATTGCTCCTTTCTGCTACAGCATATTGGTTATATGCAGACAATCTCATCAATGGTGCATAAGGTGTACAGAGAGCCCCCTTCAATGGACATACTGCTCAGAACCTGTCCCAAACTAGAACAAATTTATGAGACTTCTATAGTGTAGAGCACTGCACCTGGGTCCTCCTCATAGGGGCTAATTTCCTTCATCATGGACAAGCAACAGAAAGAACATAAGAACAAGAAGATAATGCATTTGTAGTCCAGGCGAAGTGGGTACCTTGAAAAGCAAACTGTTTCAGCAATTCATGTCTTTGGTAAAAGATATTTACCAGGCGTATTAAGAAGGAAATAATGAGTGGGTGAGCAGAAAAAAAAAAGAACTACATGTTTAAGAGTAATTTTTTCTCACTTAGGCTTGCTTCTCTAAGGAGGAGAAGTCTCTTCCAAAAAGGATTACCCAAGCAAGCTTGAGGAACATTAAAAAAGAAATTTTTCTTCTTGCAGGATTGTTTTCATTTAAGACTCAGGAAAAAAGCAGAGCTTTCTGAATACTGAGTATTCTATACAATACAGCTTTCACTGACTCCTCAATGGAAATGAGCCAACAAGCAAAAGAAATCAACAGGCAGGCCTGCCCACATGCTTTAACTCACTACCAAAATACACTATTTGTTTCAATTTTTATCTTAGAGGCATTTCCCAGCCTCCTCCTTTTAAAATACATTTCCTTCATGGGAGGTTTGAATATTTTCCCCCAATACCATAGAGAAGTAACACATTAACGAAGTAGGAAACACTTGATAGGAAAACAAACATGACAATGAGATGTGCTAAGACTGGCAAAATAATAAAGGAGCAGCAGAGAAAAAACATGAGCATTATATTTGGAGTTAGAAATTGTTCTATTGGGTGAGACCAATAGACATCTGTCCATGCTATGACCACAGGATCTTCCACTCTCCTATCCCTCCCAACCAGACCCTTCTCCTCCACATAAAACTTGAAATAAAGAGAATATAAACTCAAATAATTAAAAGTTTTGTCAACTCTGGAGAGGCAGCTGTGGAACTGTTAACATAGGTCTTCCAAAATTCTGGCTCCAGATGAGAGATAAAGATTCCACAACACCCAATGCCTGTGTAAGTGGTCAGGGGAAAGCTTGCTTACTTAAGGTTTACACAGGGATCAGAATCTTGTTATTTCTAAGGTTCCCACCATGACCAAAGTATATGAACTTCAACAAATGTAAAAGCTTATTTTGAGCCACCTCTGGGATTTAAATCCACAGTCTCCTATTAATCTTTAGCAACTATTCCTCAGAATTTAGCTCTTTGAAAAGGTTCATATGTGTACATAACTAACAAAAACTGTAGAATTATTGTTCTATATAGTTGTCAACAAGATGAGTTAATTAATGCTGTGCCTCTATAGAAGTCAATAGCACTAGCTAGCTCAGGGGTTCCCAGCCTTTTTCGGTCCCCATACTCTCTTGGCTTTTAGTAAACCTTCCCGTACCCTCTATTCAATATGAAAGGAAATAAATTCTATACTCTAGAATCCACAACTTTTTTCACTAACACTACTACTTTTGGAATATTTCAGTTAGGATAATCTAGTTATTTACCAAATATTCCCCATACCCTCTTGACAAGCTTCTCGTACCCCCTCGGGGTATGCGTACCACAGGTTGGGAACCCCTGAGCTAGCTGATTAACATGGCCCAGTATAGCAATGTCTTCTATTTATCTTTATGTTCCATTCAGTGGTTTACTAAATTAAGAGGTATTTGTTTTTTAGTATTTAAGATTAGGATCTGTGTAAATGGCTACTTGGCAAATTTCATTTTGCGAAAGTTTCATTCTCATGTCAGGTATTTATTTTATTTGGCTTAACTGAACTGTAATTTCCTTTGGTAAAAGTTTCTGAACAAGAGATCCTTTGTCAGTGGCAGAAAAACTAATCTTTTATCTGTGCTTAGAGGTCATTTAGTGAGACGTGCAACTTTACAGTAGTTTCTCAGATTTTATTTTGTGTTCCAACCTTAATCCAAATGAAAGATCAAATTGTACTTTCATTTACACACACATGCAACTAACTTCCCATGTCACAGACTTCCATGGGTATAAGTGAAGATAGAATCTATTTTTAATGCAACTGTTAAGTAGAATTACATGTAACAGTTAAATAGAATAAAATAATATATTGGTATCAACAATACATAATTTAAAACAGAATTTCACTCATTCTTGTTGACATATTAGTCGTGGATCTGCATGCAAACATGTTTATTTTTCTCTTTCACGGGTGCAGATCAGCAAAAACACAGATCTGAATTGTGGCCTCTGGTGTTGCTTCCGTACACCAGCTCCACAAACATACAAAAGTCACAAACCAAAGTGGCTCCTTATGGAGGATACCTCAATTGGAATAGGGGGTATAGGAGGATGGAAGCAAGAACTTTGATCTTCTATCACACCTGGCACAGGGGCACACCAGGGAAGGAGCAAAGAGGCATGACTGCTCCAATTATTCTGTACTGCTATATGTTTCTCGAATGGGCTGTTGCAGCAGAATGAGAGGGAAGAGATGTGAAGTATTCAATAGTACAAAAATGGCTTAGTCACTCTAGCCACTCCCTCAAAGACAGCCTATATTGAACTCAGTCCAATCGCAGGTCAAAACACAAGGGCCAATGTGCTCATTCATTTAGTATAGAAGATACCAAATACAGGATGTCATTGCTTCGTAAGAAACTTGATATTAAACTGTTTTCTCAGTGACATTTAGTTTGGTTCATTGTTAATTCAAAAATAAAGCCAAAACCAAAAACACAACCACAAAACCAAAAAACCCCACCCCATAAAAATTAACTGAAGTTATTCCATATTATGTCATTTAATAGTACTGAGTACATCTTATTGAATTAGACATTAGCTTGTTACATATGCAACAATTAATAAAGGATAAGAACTATTGCCATCATAAATCTTATTTTATAAGGCTACAATTTGGACATTTTAATTAACTCCAAGCTGAAACTTGGCATACAATTCCAATACGTAACAGTACATTTTAGTCTACCAAATTACTAAAATTAGTTAAACCTGTTTCTAGTGCAGAAGGTTAAAAAGAGAAGGGGGGCATTCATTTCATGACTAAATTTCTTTATGAATTTAGAACTATTTGCATGGATGGCTTCAGTATGCACAAACCCCTACTGAACTCAATGGATATGTCAATGCATATCAGTGTCCCATGGCCTGCACTTTTGGGCTCACACTTGTTTGTAATATCACCTGTATATTACATGTAATGGAATTTAAGTTTTCAATTTGTCTCTCAACATTAATATTGTCTTTTCTTTTCTTTTTAGAAGATGGGCAGGTTAGGAGGGGAGGAGACAATTACCTTTACTTTGATCAGATGTTGCCCCACACTGAGCTAAAGACAATTAATGAATTTAATGTTTTTATTCCAACTATAAACTGTACCTTTGCGCCACCATTAGTACTGCAAAGATCTCTATTACCCATCCTAAAAACAGCACATTGGAATAACACACTAGTGCAAAGAGAGTGTGACACCATGAAATTATGTGAATTACTTTCACCCCCTTAATTGTATGGGTTGCTCTCCCAGGAACGCTGAAGTTCTTTTTTTATAGACAGTCGATTCAAGGACAGGGTCAGACAGTAGGTAAAATAGGCCAGCTGCACCTGACCTCAAGAGAGGCGGCGTTGCAGGGGCATACCGGGGAAGGCACTTGCAGGCATCCCCGACCTGTGTGTCAACCTATCGCTGTCAAGCGCTAGGCTCCCAAGACTTACGGCTCCTAAGCGGCGAGCAGTTTCTTATCAGTCAGGAGCGCTGCGCCTTTCAGGCGCCACTTTCTCCAAACGTGCCCGGCAGCTGCTCCCCTGCCACTGCGCCCCATTCAACCCACTCGCGAGCGCGCAAGACACGCGAAGGCAGACAAAGCACGGCAACTTACGGCGCTGGCACAGCCCCGGCACAGCGGCGAGCACACGGGCTGCCCGCAGCACGGGGCCTGGCCCTCGCTGGCATTTCTGCAGAGAGACGATTCCAGCAGTCAGAAAAGCCAGGAGTGGGATCCACATAATGCGAAGCAGACGGCACCTCTCCCTGTCCTGGCCCCCAAGACGCGAAGGCAGACAAAGCACGGCAACTTACGGCGCTGGCACAGCCCCGGCACAGCGGCGAGCACACGGGCTGCCCGCAGCACGGGGCCTGGCCCTCGCTGGCATTTCTGCAGAGAGACGATTCCAGCAGTCAGAAAAGCCAGGAGTGGGATCCACATAATGCGAAGCAGACGGCACCTCTCCCTGTCCTGGCCCCCAAGTCTCGGCTGAGCGGCTCCCCCCCCCCCCCCCCCCCCCCCCCCCCCCG